AAAAGAGCTTGTGACGGCCAGTTGAGAACTAATCTTTTTCTTGTTCTTTAGTGCAAAATATAAACGCATCTTTCTGATGCACTCTGGTGCACTTGTTCGTGCATAGTTCAAACAGTTGTGAAAAGTGATATCAAGGGTCGGATCAGGGCCGTATCAGGGCCGTATCAGGACCGTATCAGGGCCGGATCAAGGTCGTGTCAGGGCCGGATCAGGGCCGGGTCAAGGCCGGGTCAAGGCCGTATCAGGGCCGGGTCAAGGCCGAATCACAAAAGTTCTCCAACACCATGCCTTCTTTGTCAATTTCTCTTTTACATTACTATATCTGGAACTAGAATCTTGAAATTCCATATTCTTTAGCGCATTTCTCTAAATGAATCCCAACATCATTCAACTCAGACAACAGCAAGACAACACTCAACTTGGACAACAGCAGGACAACAGCAGGACAACCCTCAACACAGACAACAGCAAGACAACACTCAACACAGACAACAGCAGGACAACAGCAGGACAACCCTCAACACAGACAACAGCAAGACAACACTCAACACAGACAACAGCAGGACAACAGCAGGACAACCCTCAACACAGACAACAGCAAGACAACACTCAACACAGACAACAGCAAGACAACACTCAACACAGCAAGACAACCCTCAACACAGACAACAGCAAGACAACACTCAACACAGACAACAGCAGGACAACAGCAGGACAACCCTCAACACAGACAACAGCAAGACAACACTCAACACAGACAACAGCAGGACAACAGCAGGACAACCCTCAACACAGACAACAGCAAGACAACACTCAACACAGACAACAGCAAGACAACACTCAACATAGACTACAGCAAGACAACCCTCAACACAGACAACAGCAAGACAACACTCAACACAGACAACAGCAGGACAACAGCAGGACAACCCTCAACACAGACAACAGCAAGACAACACTCAACACAGACAACAGCAAGACAACACTCAACATAGACTACAGCAAGACAACCCTCAACACAGACAACAGCAAGACAACACTCAACACAGACAACAGCAGGACAACAGCAGGACAACCCTCAACACAGACAACAGCAAGACAACATCAAAAGCAAGACACCTCAACACAGAAACAGAAGACAACACAAAAAAGACAACAAGACCCACCCTCAACACAGACAACAGCAAGACAACACTCAACATAGACTACAGCAAGACAACCCTCAACACAGACAACAGCAAGACAACACTCAACACAGACAACAGCAAGACAACATTCAACTTAGACAACAGCAAGACAACACTCAACATAGACTACAGCAAGACAACCCTCAACACAGACAACAGCAAGACAACACTCAAGTCAGACAACAGCAAGATAACTCAAATACTCGGAGCAACTTGACAAATCAGCCAAATCTTTGCCAGAGAAAAGACCCCAAAGAGAAAAATCATTCTTTAACATGATAATGCTAGACCTGAAGATGATTGGTTCTACACTAAACTCATGGGAGGTGATGGCCCATCCGGTATACAGCCCTGATCTTGCACCTTCTGATTACTACTTATTCCTGATGAGCTATGATTTAGCGGCCAACACTTTGATTCCAAAGAAGAGGTCAAAAATGGCTGACAGATTGATTTGCGTTAAAAACGAAGATTTTCTGCGAGAGAGGCATTCGATTTCTACCAATAAAATGAGCTAAAATCATACAAAATGACATAATGGCAAAGATCTCGTATGAGATGTTGATTGAAGAAAAGCTTCATTTGAAGAAACGCTTCAAAACGTGTCAAGTCATCAATCCAATAAAAAAAATCACCAATCCAATAAAAAACTTTAACTCCTAACCTGTCTCTACTTTTAAATAGCACAAGTCAGAAGGTATTTTGTGTTAAATGGGGAATCATTGATGCTTTTTGAGTCACTATAACCATCTCTTTACCATCTCTTTACCATCTCTTTACATCTCTGAACCATCTCTTTACCATCTCTTTACGATCTCTTTACATCTCTTTACCATCTCTTTACATCTCTGAACCATCTCTTTACCATCTCTTTACGATCTCTTTACATCTCTGAACCATCTCTTTACCATCTCTTTACCATCTCTTTACCATCTCTTTACGATCTCTTTACCATCTCTTTACGATCTCTTTACCATCTCTTTACCATCTCTTTACAATCTCTTTACGATCTCTTTACCAATCTCTTTACGATCTCTTTACCAATCTCTTTACCATCTCTTTACCATCTCTTTACGATCTCTTTACCAATCTCTTTACAATCTCTTTACGATCTCTTTACCAATCTTTTTACCATCTCTTTACCATCTCTTTACCATCTCTTTACCAATCTCCTTCAAATCTCCTTTCGACTTCCAATTCAACAATCGAATCTCAATAATTGGAATGGTCAATCCGTCAGCTTAATTCTCATCGTTTCCTCTCATCTTTTCCTCTCATCATTTCCTCGAAGAATGCCACCCAAGTGATGAACCGGACTGATCCCCAAAGAATAAAAAACACCCAATTCCAACTCATCGACGAGCTCCCAAAAACGAGTCCACTTTTTGCAGTAAAGCAAAAAGTTTGGGAGGATTTTGGGAAGATTTTGGGGTAAAAGGGGGAAAAGGGAGGGAAAAGGGGGGAAAAGAATTTAGCGATTCGATCCATTTTTTGCTCATTCGTTCATATCTGGGCGACTCTCTCCGATCGCCTTTTCTTGGAGTGAAAAATGGGAGAAAAAAACGGACCCTGTCGCGCTGTTCTCTACAAAAAGTGCCCCAATGGCTTTATAAAGCTCTGGATATCTTTTAAGGGTAATTGAAAATGCTTTCATTTCTCTTTCAGCATTTCTGCTTTCAGATTTATGCTCGTAAATCTTTTCTAAATATCTTCCTTTCTTTTAGCAAGCTTTTCACTTTAGCTAATACTTTTCAACGCGTCTAAAAGGGGCTTATTTTCTAAAACTGACGTAATCGTAAACTGTTATTTTACAGATCAGACAAATTTTTGTATCCTATGCATGATTTGGTGCGTTTTGGAGGCAAAAGCTTGCTCAAAGCCACACAAAAACATTCCTTGAAAACCATTCCTTGAAAAAATCGTTAAAAGCCTGAGTTGGATACAGTCTAGCTAGTCACAATGTCCATCAGGTCAATGTTGTCTACCAGTCACAATGTCCACCAGGTCAATGTTGTCCACCAGTCACAATGTCCACCAGGTCAATGCGTTTCCGAAACAACTGCATTAACGCTCGAGGCTCCCATTTTGAGTTTGATAGATTTTTTGTTGAAAAATGGACGAAAATTGGGTACTTTACCTAGCTTTTATAGCTAGTTATAGCTCCACATTTTGTGACGTTTTGTGGCAAAATATTGAGCCGAAGAGTTAGAAGTAATGTTCTGAATTAAGATAAATAGAAAAACCCACAATAAGCACGAACCTTAAGCTTTGTATGATAGGATTCTTGTGAAGAACTCGGAATTTGTTTATTTTGTAATATTGAGTCAAATGAGTTCCAGGTTTCAATGGGATGTTGAGGTAGAGGTTGAGCCATTGAGCCATTGAGCAGCGTGACCATTGAGCCATTGAGCCATTGAGCAGCGTGACCATTGAGCCATTGAGCCATTGAGCAGCGTGACCATTGAGCCATTGAGCAGCGTGACCATTGAGCCATTGAGCAGCGTGACCATTGAGCCATTGAGCAGCGTGACCATTGAGCCATTGAGCAGCGTGACCATTGAGCCATTGAGCCATTGAGCAGCGTGACCATTGAGCCATTGAGCAGCGTGACCATTGAGCCATTGAGCCATTGAGCAGCGTGACCATTGAGCCATTGAGCCATTGAGCAGCGTGACCATTGAGCCATTGAGAAGCGTGACCATTGAGCCATTGAGCCATTGAGCAGCGTGACCATTGAGCCATTGAGCCATTGAGCGAAGCGTGACCGAAGAACATAACGATATTAAGCAGTGACCAAAGAACAGAACAACATTGAGCAATCACTGATATAACTAAAAGGTGTAGAGAGCTAAAATCAATATTCAATTTGAACATCTTAAAAAATTCAATAAAAATCTCCTAGCTGTGAACTGATTAGAGCGTATTGAATCTAGCCCTTTATTCATTCATTCATTCACCAAGGAATGTAAAGTTTTCACATCAATAGGGCGCACAAACGTCTTGTTTTCTTTTTCTTTCGTTGCATTGCTTTTCAATTTCGTCCTTTTGGTGGCACGATTGCTGAAGATTTTGTTGACTAATTCCAAATTTCCTCGCTACAGTCGACTTGTCCTACACTTTTTTAGCCAATGCAATCGCGGTAAACCAATGCTAATGCAATTGCGGCAAGCCAAGCAAAAAGCAGGCAAGCCAAGCAAAGAAGCAGGCAAGCCAAGCAAACAAGCAGGCAAGCCAAGCAAAGAAGCAGGCAAGCCAAGCAAGAAAGCAGGCAAGCCAAGCAAAGAAGCAGGCAAGCCAAGCAAACAAGCAGGCAAGCCAAGCAAAGAAGCAGGCAAGCAATGCTAATGCAATCGCGGCGAGCCCCATTAATGCTAATGCTAATGTCAATGCGATCTGACTCGACTCGACTTAGAGTCATTAATCTTTGTATGTAAATCTTGAATGAATGATCTTCGTGAACAAGATTGTACTTCTAGATTACCATAGTAAAAAGTAGATTGGAGACGTATAACGTAGATTAGATGACGATAAAGTACCCATTTTTGTTTTGTATTTGCTTTCCACTGGGCATCAATAGAATACTAGTTATTGATTAGCTATTGTATCACTTGTAAACGTTCTTCTGGCACATACTTTACGTACAATGTAGCCTTTTTTTAGTTCTAATCATAGCTATGATTGTTGTTTTATCCTACGAACTTTTTTTTACACTTTTAAATACACCATTTCTAGTGCATTCTTTTAAAAAAATTGAGAAATTTCGATTTTTTTGATAGCTAATCAGCTAATCACAAAAATTTCTTATTTCAGTTTATGGAGAAGGTGCCGGTGTGCGCCTCGGTGGCGGGTGCCACTTTTGTGGTCGTTTCTTGTCTTGTCGCTGGGACAATCATCTCTCGTGATATCAACAATATGTATGATGATTTCATGAACAGCATGGGAGAGTTCAGAGTGAGTTCAGAGTTCAGAGTTTAGTTGGGAGAAGATTGAAGAGGGCCGCTGGAGGAGATGATAGTTGCTTGTTCATAGAGTTGTATAAAATTAGATGCAAATTTCTAGGCCGTTTCCGAAGACACATGGAACGAGATTTTCGCGATGCAAATGGGTGCCGCTTCTTCGGGAAAATCGACGGCTCCATCACTAGCCGGTTTAGTTGGGAGAAGATTGAAGAGGGCCGCTGGAGGAGATGATAGTTGCAGTGAGTTGTTGGGAAAAGTTTGCCTATTTACAGTGGAGACTTTGTGTGGCTGCTCAGGCTCAGGCTCAGGCTTAGGCTTAGGCTTAGGTTCAGGATCAGGCTTATGCTCAGGATCAGGCTTAGGTTCAGGTTCAGGCTTAGGTTCAGGATCAGGCTCGGGCACAGGCTTAGGCTTAGGCTCAGGCTTAGGCTCAGGCTTAGGCTTAGGCTTAGGTTCAGGATCAGGCTTATGCTCAGGAACAGGCTTAGGCTCAGGCTCAGGCTTAGGTTCAGGATCAGGCTTAGGCTCAGGCTCAGGCTGAAGTTCAGGTTCAGGCTTAGGTTCAGGATCAGGCTCGGGCACAGGCTTAGGCTTAGGCTCAGGCTTAGGCTCAGGCTTAGGTTCAGTCTCAGGCTTAGGCTCAGGCTCAGGCTTAGGCTCAGGCTATAAATCAAAAACACCGCAGCTATACAATAGCATTGTAGTACTGTAGCTTAGCCCGCTGTATAGAAGTGACTTGATGATCGTCAAAGAACTCATGCGCTCAATCAGGCTCAATCATGATCAGGCTATAAATCAATATCAGTATACAGAGTGATCGCGAATTATAGCGACTCACTTCTGACGGTCTAGCTCAGCGAGAACTCAATGAATCCGTATGAAATTTTTGGAGGTGATTTTTGGGTATTTCTCCTATCTCTAAGCCCATTTTCTAACTGATTGGTGCTTCTAGAATCTTTATATAACCTTACAAAGTTGAGACTCGCTGTGCAACTGGGGAAAAACTTAATTTAAGGTTTTTGAAAGCCGTTTTTGAAGTTATTTAATGAGTATGATCGCGTTTAAAACGAAAAAAAGATCAAATAGATCAAACAAAAGATCAAACACCTCATAGAAATTCGATTCGATTCAAATGCCTCATAGAAAACCTCATAGAAAGGTTTTTCCCCAGTTGCGCAGCGACTCTCAACTTTGTAAGGTTATATAAAGATTCTAGAAGCACCAATCAGTTAGAAAATGGGCTTAGAGATAGGAGAAATACCCAAAAATCACCTCCAAAAATTTCATACGGATTCATTGAGTTCTCGCTGAGCTAGAAGTCGAAGAGTCAGAAGTGAGTCGCTATAATTCCCCTGTACTGTAGCTTGGAAGTGTACTGTAACTTGGAAGTGTACTGTAGCTTGCAAGTCGAATACTGTAGCCTATAACATAGCACTACAGACTCGAAAAGTCTACTGTAGTCGAATACTGTAGCCTATAACATAGCACTACAGTATCCTGTACCAGAGGGATTTAATGGTAGCCAGGGACATGCAGATAGATCTATATCAGATATTATAGTTCTACTATGACACAATACTACAGTACCCCTATACTGACAAATGACAGATCACTATTATTCCAGCTTGCGGTGTCTCGGCTCGTCGTTGCCCACCTGGACCTCCAGGACCTCCAGGTATCTCTGGACCACCAGGAGACATCGGTCGCGATGGACCACCTGGAAAATCCGGAAAACCCGGTATCACCCAGCCACTCCTCTTCAAACCAGCTCCTTCCACTTGTGAAGTGGTGAGTTACTCAAGAAAGTACCTTTTACAGTAACTTTTAGTGTCCCGTTGGCCCGCCTGGACCCCCCGGAAAAGAGGGATGCGAAGGACCACCAGGAAAGGAGGGATCACCCGGAAAACGTGGACCACCTGGAAATGCTGGCCGACCGGGAATGCCGGGTCCTTTGGGAGATCAAGGAGCATCGGGATTGGACGGACAACCGGGTATGCCGGGAGCCCCAGGACAGGATGCGCTCACCGGAAAAGGAGTGCAAGGATTGCCGGGAAGAGGAGGACCACAAGGACCGTGCGGAGAGCCAGGAAAAGACGGTGGTGATGGAAAGGTGGGTGATGATCTAGATTGAGTACACGCAGAGAACTAGATGCTCAACTTGTCAAGTTGTTAGTCTATAATTTTAAAAGGTTTACTGTAGCCAAGCAAGTTATACTGTAGCCAAGCAAGTTACATAGCAGCCAAGTTATACTGTAGCCATACTATTGGAGCACTGTAGATAGACAGCTTATACTGTACTATTGGAGTACTGTAGATAGACAGCTTATACTGTAGCCGTACTATTGGAGTACTTTATACTATTACTACTAGCCATACTATTAGTGTGCTTCTTTGTGCCATATCCAGTAGCATGCTACACAGCTGAACAGTAGCACGCTGCAATTTAAGATATTGCGATTTTCTTGAGCGAACGTATTAGTGTGAAACGCACTGCATAACCAAGTAATACCGTTAGAGTATACTTTAGTCAAACAAGAAAAACATTCACTTTAGCTCCGCTTATATACAAATTTACAGGACGGATCCAACGGCCAAGAGGGGCCCCAGGGAATGGAGGGACTCCCCGGATTGCCTGGCAACACCGGACCTGTCGGATATGTAAGCAGTTTGTTCTTTCTTCTATCTAATCCCAAATTCAGCCTGGTAAACCCGGTGCCCCTGGAGAGGACGGAGAATACTGTAACTGCCCCGATCGTGGAGATATCCCAATCTATGATAAGCCTCAGTGAGTTGAAATCAGAGTTGAATCATCCCTAGTTGAATCATCTAGTGTATCTATACCGTATACCAAATCGTCTATACCGTATTCTAAGAATGCCACCGTACTATTTGACTATCGTACTATGTACCGTACTATTTGATATCTAGTGGTGGTGGCCCTCCACCAAGACGTCCTCCACCTGGCCGTGTGCCCGGCGTGCAGCCACCAAGCCCCAGCCATTACCGTCCATCCCCACACGAGATGCGCAAAGGAACAAAGATCCCAGCCGGTCGTCCAAACAATGTCGGCAGCTACAACGATGACAATGCAGGGTACAATAAGAAGTGGCTATTCTCGCTTTTTCCTTTATTCTAATGCTTCTGCTTATTAACCTCTCCAAGAATCGATTCGATATTGAAAAATCTTTTTTTAGACCACACCCATCATCCGCTGCTGAAGCCCCAGCCGGATATGATCAGTGAGTGAAATTTTAGAGATCTTAACAAATTTCGATTCAGACCTCCACCACCAGCCGAGAAAGCGTACGCCGAGCCTGCTGGATATGACAAGTGAGGGATTTGCTAGAAAAAAAAAAGTTATAAACCTATAGAAATATCAGGATAAACTAGTCAGTTTATATTTTTGCCCATTTTTTAGCCCAGCCCCATCACAACCAAAACCAAAACCAAAACCAAAGCCAGCCGCTAAGCCTGCGCCCGCTTATGAGGAGCCTAGCTATGACAAGTATGTATTGATGCTTGGGATAAAATCATTTTTACAGATAGAACTTTATAACTCGGCAATTCCAGGCCTCCACCCCCACCACCGGCCACTGAGCCCCCAGCAGCCTACGAGACCGAGGCTCCAGAGCCCAGCTATGACAAGTGGGTCAAGATTTTACGTAAAATTCCGCTATACAGAACTCAAATCTATTACCAATATCGGATGCATATTAATGAGACGTTTACTATTAGTTTTCGACTTCTAGAACCTACAGATATAAATCATTTTTTTCAGGCCTCCTCCACCACCCCCACCCCCAGCCGCTGCTGAGGCCACCGGATATGGCCGTCGCCGCAGAAGAAGAAAATTCTAAACGTTTACACTCTTATCGCCGTTCAATAAACTTTTTAAAATTTCTTTATCTTCACAAAGTAAACCCGAACACTAAGCATACATTTAAAAGGCACAAAAACACTGTACATGTATTAAGGTTGAGTACTATTAAGAGTATAGCCGAATTTCTAGAAAAATTCGCCCCACGTTCTTTATCTTTATCTTTCTCTTCTAAGAATTTAAGATAAATGAGAATTTACTTGCGAATTTGCATCATATCAGGTCAAATTTTTTTTTTAAATATCTAAAACTAAACACTAAACACTTTTTATTTTTAGCGAGCCAACGTTTGTTTGAAGAAAAATCCCTTATAAAAAATAATGAATAAGGGATACCAACACATTGTACTCAACCTAATAAAACAACTTAGCACTTAGAAATCCACATTCAATCGCTTTGTTTTGGCGATGCTCGTCTCCAGATCGTCGCTGGCTTCTTTTCGTTTTGAGGCTTTTGTTGTGGACCCGGTGGAGGAAGAGGTCGCAGCTGACTTTGATGACCTTGCCTCAGCCGTATTCTAAAATTAAAGTTAGGCTTTAAGTACTTGTTTAGCTACACAAAAATAATAACAAACTATTCACGCAACTAATTTACTGTGCAAACTGGATCTAACTAGGTATACTTTTAAAATTGACTGCTTTTCCAAACTGCTCTAGAAAAAATATATCAAGAACTTTTACCAAAATTTAAATCAGAACAAGAACTTAAATCAACGGTGTTATAGTAGTTAGGAGTGTACATTCATCTCTATTGAGCCCGAGCGCACTAATTTTTGCTTCTAGGGTTTTTTAATGGCGTAGATTCTTAATTTGGTATTTATTTAAGCTTTAGTGACTCTTTTCTAGCTATTTCAAGCAGTTACTGACGTTTTAAGCCTCTTAATTCGGTCCCACACCTCTAAACGCAGTGGAAATAGAGCAACTCTTGAAAGCTCGGAATTGTTGCTCAAACTAGCATGAAAGTTGTTCAAAATGGTTTATAAATGCTTCCAATGGATCCAGTGCAATTAATTACCCCAGAAAAAGTTTTTTAAACTAGTGGTAATTTCGAAAATACCGGTGTTTACAAACGCGCAACTGCTATAGCATAAATCAAGAAGCCTTTTACAATTTTGACATTATTAAGTACACTTGATAAACAAAAAGACGAGCGCGACCCTGCGAAGCTCATCCTTTATAGAATTAAAATTGAAAAACCCACCTTGAGTCCAAAGTTTTTCTCGAGATATTTCAGCAAGAGTGGGAAACGATCATTTTTGACGATTCTCTCATCGGGTCGTTGGGGCACGTGCCAGGCGATTTTATGGCCCGACATAGGTTCAAGTGCTTTAACCTAAAACAACAAAATTAAATGTTTAATTTGTAATTTAAGCCACCAAAGCTATGTACTTTAATTTGCCAAAGCTGTCATTAGTTCGACAGTATTAATAATCGTTTATTTTTCGTCGAAACTATGCTACCAAGAACAATAACAAGGTTCTTTACACTTTTACATCCCAACTATCATTAGTTATTATTCATGGTAGCATAGTTTCGACAAAAAATAAACGATTATTAATACTGCTTAGCTGATATTAACTATTGAATTGTTATAAAATAACATTATTTTAGAAATTAAAGCCGTTATAATGGCGAAACAGTCATTTAAGAGATTTGTTTTTGAAAATAAATCTTATTAAAAGCAAAAATACCTTGTCACTTTCACGCGCTATTGTGAAATTCCTCTTGTTTCGACACGGCAAGTTCTTCAACAACGAAGTCGTGTTTGTAGACATCTAAAATAAAGGAAATTATCAAAATATTTGAAAAGAAGAAAGAAAAAGAAACAATACTACTGAACCACTACCAAAAAAGCGCAACTACGAAGAAATGGGGTGGCTATTTTGCGACAAATTTTTTTGCGCAACTGGGTCTTTTGCGCAACTCCCCCTAACTTCCTGTTAGGGGGAGTTGCGCCTTCCTCATAACTTTCTTCTAAGTGGCTCAATCTTTATGAATTTGGTTTCATTTTGTTGCAATTGTTGAGATCTACAAAATGATAACAAAAACATAAAGATTGACCCACTTAGAAGAAATTTATGGCGAGTTGCGCAAAAAATTTGGCGCAAAGTAGCCACCGCCCAAAGAAATGCTTTCAAAACAGAAATTTTTTTCGAGTTTGATGCAAAAATTATTTAAAGACTTATCGGCCAACCTAATACAGTCATGGACAAAAGTGTTTTAACGTTGGTTTTTAGAAGTTTGTTCTTTGTATATCTTGGTCCAAATCCGACCAATTTGCAAACGATTAAAAGATTTAAAGAACTTATTATCTCTACGTTAAAACCAACGTTAAAAGACTTTTGTCCATGACTGTAATAAGTAATACAAAATAGAAAAGGAGTACAGTAGAGAAATTTTGAAAGTGAGCACCTTTTCAAGCTATCCAGTCATCTCTTGTTTGCTATTTTACACTATACAGCTAATTCTTTTGAAAGCGCATAAAATTCTAAACTTTTCGTTGGGATGCAGTTTCTACTTGTCAGATTTCACGTTATCTACTGGAAAACTGGCAAATTCGGAGGGGTCAACAGGTTTAAAAAAGGTAAACTAGAGCATTTTGCAACCATTTAATTAGCTGACTCGCTTTCACACCTTAACTGACAAAGTTGACAAAGTTTGTTTGTTTAAAACATCCCAACATCACCTTCAGCTTGGTGTTACATTGTTGTGCTTATTCCCCTTCTCATCACTCACTACAAATGAGGTAGCTCTATCTCGCTCTTGCACACCCTGCGCTCAAGCCCAAACACGGCCCCCAGACTTGTCGTCGTGTATTGCGGGGTTTGGGGGAGGCTCTGCCCTGGCATAGGCACCGGGGCTGTGTGGCTGTGGTGGTGGCGATGGGGGAGAGGGGCAGAGCGCAACTACTCCGGCCGTGTGTGCGTCTCTCCTATGTGCCTCCTCACCCCACCCTTTCCCCCAGCCTTAGAGCCACGTCTATCGATTCCCATCGATCCACGAAAGCACCGAAAACAATCCTAGTTTCCAAGAAAACCATTGATAATTTCGGGAAGATTTTCGGTGGATTTGATGCCAGTCGTTTTCTCGAGTGACCACAACATTCACCGACGGAGTGACCATTTCCAAAAATTCAGGAATGGGTCACAAAATTACGCGCCAAGCCATTGGGCATGGGAGACGCAGACGGGGAAAGGCGGCAATAAATTCCGTCCTCGGCATAGGGTTTTCGGCGAAATTCTATGAGAAATAGAGAGAAGAAGTGGCAGAGAGGGTGATATAGAATAGAAATTTGAGAGAGATTGGAGAAATTGGTCGACTGGGGGGTTGTTTGCGTGAGCAGTGCTACCCCGCGTGCTGCCTGTCCCCCAGCGATTGCTAGCGCACTCCGACTGGGAGAAGGCCGCGATGTGGCGACCGCCGCGCCGCCGCTCGCGACAATAATGAGATGCCGGCGACTACAAATCTGTTATTGAGGAAGATGCTAACCTATCAAGTTCTAGGCTTTCATCTAATCGCAAAAGTAAAATGATTTTACAAGAAAAGTTCATCAATACCTTGTAAAGCGCTAGAGGAGAACGATAAAAGAATGGATCGATAAGTGGGCGGGGCCAATAGGCTAGGGCGTGCGGTGAAGGGTTGGCTGGGGTGAGCGTTGCGATCAACGGGCGCGTCGACGGCAGGCAAGGCTCTGTAACAACTCTCGTTTATATATTCTAAGAGTTGGCCCTAGAGGGCATCCCTGTTGACCGTTTGTCTCCGTTTTTCTCCACTCTTTTCTCTTTGTGTATTCGCCCCTATAATTGAACGTCGGAGAGGCGGGCGGCGTCGCGGCAATGGCCGCCACTTTCCTTTCTTTCTTCCCCCTCGTCGACCAGGCTTCCCGCTTTTTATCCCCAATCTTGAATCACAAATTCTCTGCAACCTTTTCCTTTTCTCTTCTTTTTCTCCAATACATGTGTGTTGGTCAAAACGGCTCCCGAGTTTCTCAAGGTATAATGAGAATGGGAAGGCGGTGCCCCCATCAACAAAAAAGGCGGGCTTTTTCTCAGTGAATCGAAATTTAAATGGCCTAATTGCTGGTGACCTTGATCAAAAAATTCTTCATTGTTTTCTTTTAAGAATATTATTATTAATAATCAGATCTCGGTCAAAAGATTTTTAAAATTAGCATCAAATCTTGTATTTAAATTTTTCTAAAGAAGATCTTCGTTTCCTGGTGATTTTTTTAAAAATCCCTAGTCTGTGCTCCGTATTGATCAGTTTTACTTTACTTTTGTTCACTTTTACTTTACTTATGTTCAGTTTTACTTTACCTTTGTTCAGTTTTACTTTTCTACCCCAAAATCCCCATTTCTTTAGTAGTATGATTGTGAAATCGTAAAATTCTACTCAATTTTCACGAATCCGTTTCAATTGCCAGAAATCCGATTTAATTTTACCTTAAAAAAATTCAAAAATCTTCTTGCTGTCTGTAAATTTAAGCTCTAGCATTGAAATTTTACATTTTGCAGCAAATTTTACGGATAAAGTTAATTTTACACAGATAAAACACTCATTTTCATAAAGGATTCTAAATTTTGTGCAAACTTTTTGAAGAATTCTAGATTTGATCAAACATTTGCCAATAAGCCACCTTTTTTTTCTTATCTTTTGGAATTTGCTTATGTTTTCTTTTCATTTTTAAAGATCCAATTAGACAACTTAAAATTTTATTTAATTTCTAGGAGTGCTGACTTCTTTTTATGCTGATGCTTAAACGAATGAAATAGAATCGCCAAGAGATGTCGGAACCCGAAAGTAGCACTGCACAAGTGAGTTGTTTTTTAGTCTTTCATTTTTCAAAGCGCTCGTACTTTTAAAAATGCGTCTTTGGTATCAAAAAATAGCCCTAAATTTCAGTTATTTTTTTTATTCTAAGTGCGCATTGTGTAGCATAAACCAGTGTCGAGAAAAACGTTCAAAGCTAGACTATGCAACACTCAGCACCATTATGAGAGTATTTAACAAAGCAACAAAGCTATTTGGCCTTTAAATTGGGGAAGGCAAATAACATATCTTTTATAGTTTGTGCTCTAGGCAAATTCAATCTAATTTTGAAAATCTTTAAAGTTTACTCTTTGGGAAAAGCGTACAATTGTTCAGGAATCAAACAATTACTGGATACTAGAGGATAATTGTGCTCCAATTGCTCCCAAAACCATTTTTAGACGTTTTTCACGTAATTTTAAACATAAAGAACACAATTACCCTATCCAATCGATTTTTTAAGGTATCAAAGTACTTTAAAAACCGGCTTTTGTCCAAAGTTTTTGGAATTATCCTGGATTTTCGGATGAGTAGACGCGCTTTGAAGGTGTTACTTTGTTTAGAGATAATGCTATAACTATTTATATAGTTTTAAGAACTATTTATAACTATTTAGATAGCTTTAAAGAAACCCCTCATTCAAATGAAATCAAGTAGAGGTTGTTTGGGTCAGACAATCTTGCGAAACCCCGGCTCCTCTGTTCTGCTGTTTAGTTTAGCGGCTTAAAGGAGGGCTTAAAGTTAGACTAGGCGACAATACCATTATGTACTATCATTATGGCGTTCTATTAGGATATTTACGCTAACTATATATGTAAAAAGCTAGTAATAATATCATCCCTAAACAAATTTATTCACCTTCACAGTCACTCATTTAAAAAACCTAGAAAAGAACCATATCTTGAAATAAAACTCGAAAAATTTAGACAACGCCGATGCTGAACACCCTACTGGCAAAACAACCGCATGAAGGGCCATCCCAATACGCACAAACGGTTTGCTTTTGACTCTTTAAGCGCATATTTTTAAACAAAACCCTTGCTTAGCGGTTTAAAATTTGGAAAAATGATGGGAAAGTCTTATTGGGGGTGAAATAAGTTTCTTTTATCATAGATTTCTTTAATTTTCTTTAAGCTTTCTTTCCTTGATCATAGATTTCTTTAATTTTCTTTAAATTTTCTTTTATTTTTTGAAAGCAACAAAAAAATGAAAAGCAGAGTTTAATTTCTTTTGACATTTTGACTTTCAAGAAAACCCGGCTTTTTTTCATTTTCTGATAAACTTCTTTTTAAAAGTTTAAAACTTTTAATGAAGCTAGCCTCGTTTTATGGAAATTTTATTCCATAAGATGACGATAAGAATAGAGAAAATTTTTGAATATAAATATTTATCAAGTTAAACAGGGTTTGAAAGAGCTTTTCTAAAGCTTTAATTACCGATTGAATTAGAATTAGGACTTTGTAAAGTCCATCTCCAAAAAGCAATAGCTAGGAACAGTCAAAGATCTCTTTCAAAAACTCCTTTCTCTATCGCGTCAAAAAATTCGATCAAAGACTCGAGCATTAGCACATGTTTTTTTTCTCTATCCCTGCGCCCATTTGTGCTCAAAATTGTTTGTGTCTATTGAAGGGGACTGAGAAGGCTTTTTGCCCTCTTGCGCCTAGTTTTCGCCTTTCCCCCTTTTTCTTCTTTTATGCGGTCGCATCATTTGCGTCCATCCACTTCTCTCCCACGTGTGTCTGTCTGTTTCTGCCCTTTGTGCAAAAGAAAAGAGAAACTGAGTGACCCATCGGTGATCTTTGAATCGCTTGTTTATTCTCATTTCCTCTTTTTCTCACCCTCCCCCGTTTTGATACGGGAAAAAAAGAACACAGAAAAGAGAGGCGGATATTTTTAGATTAGCCCGTTCTATGAAAGGATTTAGATCTGGGAAAATTGGAGAACGTGTGAGAGAAAAAAGGGCATTGCAGGCGTTGCATTCATTTCTTTCGTTTTCGCTTTCGCTTTGCTGTTCTAGCGGTTGGCTGGGTTTGGTTCAGCTCCGCCTCTTTTTCGGTCCGTTTGCCGTTGGCAATTTACGAATTTGGCTCGTAGCTTGACCTGCTTTGTTTGTAAAACATTGAACTTGTTTTCATTTGATAGAAAATTTCATTTCGAGTCGAATGAAAGCAAATTCAACGTTTTTCAAACAAACCCGACTGAGATACGTGCAAAATACGTAGGTTGCCAACGGATTGAAAAAGGGGCGTAGTTAACATGGGTGAGCCAAACCCTGCCTAGAATAGCACTGGTTTGGTTTGATTAGAAGTTTGGGTAGTAATCTTTGAGCACAATGGTTTGGTTAGAAGTTAGTAATCGTTCAGTTAACTATCCGAAAACTTTGTTTGAAAACGAATGCTTATAAGCTTTGGCTTTCAAATGTAGAGTAAAGCTAGGGCTAGGGTTATACAATATTGTCTTAAATACTATTATACAGTACTAGAAGTATAGTAGATAGTTGTTTGCGTTGTTGTTGTTGTTAAGATGCGTAGCTTTGCGGTTTTAAGATAGCGGTTATTATAGTTCATTGGCAAGCATTCAGCCGATAGACGAGAGCTCGCAGATTCGCATCCCGGCGCTGATTTTTTAGTATTTTTAGCTCAAACCTAAACTAGTATGCTAAAGAATTGTTAGTAGTTCAATGTTACGATACTTTAATCCTTTCTAAGCTTGATAAAACCCTTTCTAAGCCCTTTCTAAACTCTTTCTAATCCTTAACAAGCTACCATTTTCAAAAGTTGATTGTGTTTATGCTAAAAACCCAGCTATTATTCTTCATTCCAATCTATCTTTATCGCTTCTTGGCTTTCTTTTCGACTCACAGACTGGGAAATGGCTCGAGATAGTGGGAGAAACTACGGTAGAAGAGAGATCAGGGTGTTGAGGAGAGTTGAAAAAGGGGGCAGCACTCTGCTTGACGACAAAGCGCCCAGCTCGCATTGATCGTTACGAGAAAGGGGCAATGCAAATAAGAAAGGATCTCTTCTTTTCTCCACTATTTTTTCACCCTAACTGTCCCTGTCTCTTCTATTACTCTTGCGCCGAATACGGATAAGAGTGCTCTCCTCTTATTGCTTGCTCTTTGTCGACTCTAACCTCATTCGTCTCTCCTATCTCGCTTAGCAATAGAAGGTTTTTTCTGCTTCCATGGTCTCCATCAGGATAAAAGAGCTCTGCCCTATTTTCTCCTCTAACCATCTTTGTCTCTTCAATTTCTTTAGGAAACTGAATACGGATGGCTCTCTCGTTTTTCTCTATTTCCCTCTGAATGGGAAGGCCTTCCCACTCGGTCAGAGCGGACCCCCATCACTAAAAAGACTACACAGCAATGAGAGGTCGCAGAGAAACACGAAATTCTTGCCTTGGCTTTGACTAGAGCCCTGGGGAAGAACGGGGACCGACTAAATGTGGGGAGAGGGGAAAGCCCCATATCGCGCCGAATCTTGTGCTCTGTTCGGCGTCATTTTCAGCCACTTCTCTGGGTGATTTATAGAAGAAGAGAGAAAAAAAAGAAGAAAACACACGTGAGGAGCCGAAAAAAAGAGTGCTGCTATTTTAGCACAACGGGGTTTTCCCACGGTTGGTCAAAGATTAAAATGGCTTTCGGGAAGAGTTGAGAAGATGGAGAAAAAGGAGAATCATTGTGTTTTCAGACAAAAAAGGAATCTCGTTTGGTTATTTGATAAGTAATTCTGAAGAACCAAAAGACTGATGAAAAGCTGTGATTGTCGAATTTTTGATTCTATATCTAGATCCAGAGTTGGCAAAAGAGCTAAATTTTCTTGGCTCTGGCTTTACTTTGGCTTTGATTTGGATTTGGCTTGGCTTTGGCTTTGATTAGGCTTTGGTTTTGGCTTTTTCCCAACCCTGGCCAGATTCCATTTCCAATTGCTTACTAAAAAAACAAATTTTGTTTGCAAAAATTTCAATCGTGGGAACGTTTGAAGAGTATTTTAGTGGTGGGAATATTTTTCGCGAGAAAAATCGAAGAGACAAAGTGGCTAGGCAAACAGTTTATTTAGAAAACACTCACTCTTTTGCCCTTTCCGCCTTTCCAACGTCATTCCATTTTTGCGTGTTGCTCTCGAAAAAAGAAACGCCCATAAATCGCGATTTGGGCAATGATCAAATTCCTCTCTTTTCCCCTTTCTCTCAATTTTTATTTTGAAAATAATAGCGCAAGATTTTTAAAAATAACTTTACTTTATAATATTACTGGGTGAAATTAGGTTCAAAAATCTAGACTTTCCGAAATTTACCATTTTTATTCAGCAACTACACCCGGCTACGCCGTTGACGAATGGAGAACGCTACCCGGGACAATCGTCGAATGTTCAAGGTATTAAAATAGTCTAACTGTCTAGCTTTGATTGAAGTCTAACAATTTTCGAAATACTGTTCTACGGTGAAAATTCTAGCCTCATCGAGTGGAGTGGATGGAGTGCCAGGAGGCGGACTACAACCCCAACAGCCGAATCAAGGACCACCTGGGATGGGTCCACACGGAATCCCGCCCGGTATGTCCCATCCAGGAATGCACCAAATGTCCGGAATGCCACCACATCACATCCCGCAACCCGGATATCATGGATACCAACCTGGATACTATCCACAGGTAAGTGTTTTGATAGAGGGGATGGACGAAGACCCGATTTTCCAGGCTAAGTCAAGCCAATCTCTTAGCTTTAGCTTAGCTAGCCCTAACTTTGGCTAAGCTTGGCTCTGACTTTGTTTGGCTTTGGCTAAGCTTGGTTCTGCCTTTGTTTGGATTCGGCTTTGGCTTGGTTATCGGACATTTGATACACGCCCCGTCCCTTTTGCCATTGGCAACCTAACTTTGAGCTCAAATATCTTGGCGTTGGGCTGTCCAATTTAAATATTATTGGTATCATTAGATGCGCCAAGTCCTTCGCTGTCGATTGGTACAAAAGCTATTTAAATTGAACAGCCCAACACCAAGATATTTGAGCTCAAAGTTGGATTGCCAATGGCAGGGTGTCAAATGTCCCACAATCCTGGCTCATCCTCTGGCTTGGCTAGCCTTGACTTTTGGCTTTTCCGTCTATCCCTAAAGAGGGAAAGCTTCAAAAGTTTTCAGGATTACCTAATAGAAAATAATTCAGATGGGCCAAATGAGAGCAATGCATCCACACCATCCAATGTACCCACCCGGAGCCATGGGCCACCCTGCTCAATTCCCGCCACATTACGGCCCACCAATGATGATGCGGCCACAACCACCGGGAGATCTCGTGAAAATGCCGCAAGGACCAAATCCCCTGGAATGGGCGAATGCGCAAAAGTTGAAGGTGGGTTGAATGAGTAGAAGAGGAGTCGTTAATTTGCAACATTGTGGACCTAATTTTTTTCAGGAAAACGAGGAAAACGGTGATGCTAAACCAGGCAGCTCGCAACCGACCGCCGGAGCACCACCACAATGGCATGGAGCACCGATGGGAATGCATCCGGGGATGGTACATCCACAAGCCGGACACATGGTTCCACCGAATGCTCAACAACCCCAGCAATCCGCTCCACCACCAGCCATCAATCGCAAAGCGAATATCGTTGATCAATTGGTGGGTTTTTGGAAAAGAACTAGGAGAAAAGGAATTGCTTAACAAATTCACAAGGCTTTTTTGATTTTTCAAGTTATTTCCCTTCTAGCTCGTCTAAAAACGTTTACAGGCAACCGATTTTATCAAGTTAGGAGTCAAAATGAAGAGAAATCCTCACGGATCATTTATCTCAAAACAGATTAAAGACATATTGAGTTTGAAGAGAGTTATGAAGCTTAGTAAAATGTATATAAGGATATTTTTGATTACCTAGTTTACGTTTAGCACATTTACGACGATCCGGGCTTGACTTAACGTACTAATGACACTTATTTTTGGTGTTATGTCGGGTTTTTTAAAATTTTTTTATGTATTTTACAAAAAGTTCTCGATAAATTTCTACTAGCTTTCAAGAGAAGATTCAGGGCGATCGAATGACTATAATAGTTTAGTTTATCTTTGAATTCTCACTAAATTATTAGTGAAACAGTAACGACTACGCGAGTGTACGCCCAAAATGTCCAGAATTTGTTAAATATCCACATAAATCTCAAATCTTTTAGGTGGGCCCAGTCACAGCTTCAAATCCGGCTCGAGTGATGCCTGAGAGAAAGCATTTCTTCGAGAGACTTGTCGCTTTTTGCGAGCAACAAGGCGAGCCGATCACCGTTGTTCCACAGGTTTTCAAAAGTAGCAAACCATTTAATAATTGATTCAGGTTTCTAAACAAAATGTGGATTTGCACAGGCTTTACATTGCAGTGAGAAATCGAGGAGGATTTGAAAAGGTTAATTTAAGAAAAGAGCTAAAATCAAAAGCTGATTTTAGGTGACAAAAGAGAAGGCTTGGAAATCGATTTGCCCGGAGGCGAACCCGGATATCTCGGAATCTTCGGCAGCTGGATATCAACTACGGAAACACTATCAAAAACACTTATTGCTATTGGAATGTATGGAAACGGGAAGGTTTGTTATATTATCTAAAGAGTAAAGCGGAAAATTGGATATCTTTTGATTTGTCAAAGCAAAATCCAACGAATGGGGCAGCTACGCACGGAAAAGCGAAAAAAATTACGGAAAAACGTAGCTGCTACATTTGTTGACTTTTTCTTTGAAAATGAAAAGATATTCTTTCTTTTTCCGCAAGCCTGATTCAAATGCAAATCATTTATTTTAGAAATCCGGAAGAAGCGATTGCGTTCGCCGACAAGTTGAAGAAAAAGAAATCGAAGAGCGAGAAAGAAAAGGATATTATTGCAGGTGAGGTTTTGAAAGATGTTGATTTGGTTAGATTTGGGTTAGACAAGGTTAGGTTAGGGTGTTATTCTGTTAACTCCAGGCTACTAGCAGTTTTTGTTCCATTTTTAAACTTAAAAAATGTACTTTATATCAAATAGTAAGCATAATAGGCCTAGGCTAATGTAGTAAGCAATCTATTAAGTATCTTGAAAGTTACTTTTCCTACTTGCATTGAAAAATAACAAATTAAACGATTGCTCTGGTATGGTTTGCTCTAAATCAAAAGTGTTTCTTATTTAATTTCCATCTTTTTAAATCAATTTGGGTTCTAGATAAGTATTTTTTACCTCCGAACTACTTATTGTTAAGCTCTCCAAGTTATTGGGATAGATGTGTCAGAATAGTGCTAGATTTGTGTTAGATTTATGTCAGATTGTCAGATTTGGTAACTAATAGTGAACTTTATGTAAATTTTGGCAAATAAAAGGGGTAGAGGTTGTTAGGATACTAGATCTGTCAAATGCAAGTTTCATTCACAATTTCTAGACGGAGCAAGTACAAGCGCCGGAACGCCAGGCCCCCATACTCCGGCTCGAATCGGAAGCCCGAGCATGGTCAACCAAATGCAGTCCGGTCCACAAACGATGCCAGGATACAAGAAAAAAGGCAATTCGTCAAAATTTTCCTTGAAGTGGGGTATTTTGAATGAGTTGCACTGCTTTAATAGCTCGAATCTTTGTTCATCGAGATACAATCGTCACTAGGTGTTCTAGACTTTTCAGAACTTGCTTGACGAATTTTCATTAGATAGCCAACATTTTCTGTATCAAAATAGATAACGAATAAAATATGAATAACTCTGAACAAAGATCTGAGCACTACTCGTTCAAAAAACCGGGTAAAACAAGAGCCAAAAAGTCGATATTCGAGTGTTTCTGATCCCGAGTCGTCTAATTGGTTTGGTGGGTGCTGGGATTTGTCTTGATTTGCACACACTAATCACCTCTTGAAACCAAATTTCTAAAGAAGGAGATCTATCTCTTTTCAACACATCGGTTGGCCGGGTAACAAGAAGAGCGGAAATGGAAATTGGTTGAGAATACTTAAAAGAGAATAAAACAAGGATTGCACTAAAATTGTCAATTTGCCTTTAAAACTCACGAAATTTTCATGAAATGCCGGCGATTTTCATCGATTTAATGGTTTCGGGTGCAGATTTTTGAAATAACAATAGCTATCCGGGGAAAATAGAAATATATTGTGAAAAATATAGAGTTCGATTACGATTTTTCAATAAGATGTCGACGAGTCGGCCCGGGAAACTGTTGGGGGGAGAGCAGGGAAAGTGGAGAGGCTTTCTCCCTCTCTGCCACTCATCCCTCCAGCTCTGCCGTTGTGCATCGTCATGTCTCTGTCTTGTCTCTTTCAGCTCCCTCCTTTTCTTTTCAAATCGGCAACGGCCCAACAACCCCCTTTTCTCTACAATTCCTTTTGAAGACATTTTCCACGACTATTTCCCGGCGACTACTGCTCATCGTCGTGCATTGATGTGATTGATTTCAGCGCTAGATTTTTTTCCGTCTTAGCGGACTGATCAAAGCCGATTTTACTCTTGGCTACAGAAAACCGAACTTGGACAACTTTAGCTTTCAGCTATTTAGCTTGTTTTTGGAGGTCTTGAGAAGCTGAGAAAATCCTATTGAATTGAATCAGATCCTACTCGAGCCGAATTGAATCAAATCCGATTAGATCTGAATTGAATCATATCAATTGACCAATTTATTCGAGCTTTTTCTCTAACACCATTCATTTTATCATAATCGAAGTCGATTTTACTACAAAATCCGGAGCCTAATCAACTACTCGAGCTTGTCAGACACCATTCATTCGATAGCTGAACAGCACAACCGAAATACTTATCACATTGAAGCCAGCTCCACATTGGAGGCCTTGAAATTATTCACCAGATCCATAATTATTCACCAGATCAACACTGACTCTGATCTTGCCCACTCCATTCTCCCTTCAGACCCAATTTTGAGAAGTTCTGGCTAAAACGACTTGCGAAAGACAGCAAAAATTGCTCACCCAGCGCCACAGAGTTCTCGCGATTTCCCGGCGGCCGTGCCATCGACATCTGGTCTCCAAAATCATATTCCGATGGCACAAGGCCGGGTGGCGGCGACGGCCACCTGGTATCCGCATCACGCGAATCAGACGGGCTATCTGTCCGTGGCACAGAATTCCCCGCGAAACTCACCAACGCCCGGAAATCCGTTTCAATCGAAACCCTCGGTCAGCCCGACTCCTCCAATGTCCTATGGGCAATACGCGGTGAATTACTATCATCAGCATAACTTGCAACGCGAAGCTTTTCTCCGATCTCGTACCTACCAGAGTGGCCAAAATCCTGGCTATCCAAATGATTGGCGAATGCAATTTCCCCAACAGCAATATGGTGATTAGTTTTTGACTTCGGATTGTTTTTTTAAACTCTGAATCGGCAATTTTGCTTGAAACTTCGCCTTTTGAGCCATGATTTTGACTACAATTTCTTTTGAAGTTCGATTAGAGCAAGATATAATCTCCATTTTTGTCGATAATCTTTTGAGGAATTGAGGACTTAGAAATTTGTTTTCTAAACAACAACACTTTTGCGAAATTCACCTTTCAATTGTGTTCTTCTTCTTTTTTCTCAAATCTATACTTTTCCGGTGTTGTTGATATAATTGAGGAGGAAAAGGGGAAAGGGTGATACGGTAAAAGTCGGCCGGTTGCCTTGGAAATGGCTGGTTGTCGGATCGGAAGGATAAATTCTAGAGACTAGGCGAAAAGTGGAGAAGTTCTTTCATTTCTTCTTATACTTGATCCGATGGGGATAATGTATTTTTGAGCAGAAATAGTTTTGCGGAGATTTCTGGCGAAAAAGCGAAAACAATTAGTGATTTGAGGGCCTAACTTGAGGAATGTAACCGCTAAACAAATAAATAAATGACTCTTGGGAAAAATGAAGATTTAGGTGTTCCGGGTGTTGTCCAACAACCGCATCATCCCGGCTACCCACCGGGCTACCCGATGCCGCCCGGAGCTGCCGGCTACTATCATCCTGGTTAGTTTGATGGAAAATTGGATAAAAATACATTTATTCACACGAATAATGGGTACAAAGTGAACTGATAGCGAAAATATCTGTCCCCTTTTTTTGACGTCGGCAATGTAAGGTTTTGCGTATTTTTCTCAGCACCAACCCTTTAGTTTTGACTATTTTGACTATCATTCGATGCAGAATAAAATTGCGCGTCGAATGATATCAGAATTAACTCAAAATGCAACATCCACGCAAAATTATGAAGCAAAAGATTAAGTCTCGCCAATAATGGGCACACCATTCGGTATCATTCGACGCGCAATTGTATTCTGCATTAAATGATCGTCAAATAGTCAGAATCGAAGGGATGGTGCTGAGAAAAACCTTTGATTGCCAACGGCAAAAAAGAACTGACAAATGTTTTCGTTACAAACCCAAAATCAATCTCTCAAATTATCTTTCAATGCTTTTAGATGCTCGAGGACCGCCACCAGGTTGGGCGGGTTACCCACACGGAGTTCCACCGCAAATGCAACGACCGATGCCTCAGAATCCGCCCGTTGAGCCCACTCAAGCGCAACCCGATTCACAACAGGTTTGTAAACAAGTGTTATGTTATCAACATACCCTGAACAGAGTCTTAATATTAACACATTCGCGACAATACGATCCGCCGGTGGGCCGTACTAATGACGATTACTTTTGGTGTCACCTCAAGGATTAAGGATTTTGTTATTTATTTCGCAGAAAGTTCTCGATAACTTTGTACTAGTTTTCAAGAGGAGATTCAGGGCTATCGAATGTCTATAATAGTTTAGTTTGCCTTTGAATTCTCACCAAATTATTGGTGAAACAGTAACGACTACGCGAGTGTACGCCCAAAATGCCAAATTTGTTAGCTGGAATCGCTATATTTAAAGTCAAAGTGTTTCTTTAGCCAACAAGCTCTCAACCACAACCGCTTGCATCTGGAGCACCACAAGCCGGACCCGCAACTCCGTCACTCACATCCCAAGTACTGTTGTTCATCAATTCTATTGATTTATTAACTTCGTTTCTAAAATTGAATCTAGACTAGTCCATTGATTTTTTTTAGCTCTTTAACAGCTACAGTTCTAAAATTACAATTCAGGCAACAACACCTGCTCCGCCAGCCACTCCGGGACAACCCGGAACACCAGCTTCGATTTCAGGAAACGCTTTGCAGGTTGGTTTTGGCTTTGATTAGGCTTTAGGGCACTTTCCCGCCAATTAAAACAAGATAAGTGTAAATTTCTCCTAGTAAAGATAAGGAGAAAATAGTATAAATGCTTTATTAGGCTTATATTCATCAATTCTATCTTAAATCTATCCAAAAAACCATATACTTGGATAAAAGATGCTAACTATGCTACTAACTAACGAATAAAGCATAATAAACATAATGATAAAGCAAGATTTCAAAGATCAGTTTGCATATTAACTTGTTGGCGGGGTAAAGATAGATCAATCAGATCAATCATTTCGTATTCGTACCGAATTTCGTAGATCAGTCATGATTTACAAATCACTTCAGGTTGAGGCTGGTAGTCGCGCTCCATCAGCCGGTCCCCCACCTGCAGCTACACCCGATTCGGCGAGTCGGATGAGTGCCAACGATGATCGACCGCCAAGCCAATCAACGACGAGCACACCGGTGCCACCACTGTAAGTGAATTGACAGAAAGTTAGTTGCTAAATCTTTTAGAAAATATCTCTTGAATTTGATAGCTGGTTAACTGACGACTAAGTATTTCATTAGGCATAGGTTATTAGCGTTTTGGTTATTAGAAATCTGTTGCCCGGATAACTGTTCTCGGGAACACTGAAAAGAATCGGCGACAGATATCAGGGAGATATTCAAGCAGATATCTAAATTAACAGATATCTAACAGATATCTGTTGGATATCTAATTTAACAGCTATCTTTTAGATAAGTAATTTAGCAGATATCTAATAATAGCTAGTCGATATTTCTACTATTATCCAATTCTAGACCCAACGCCCCAATGCCACCTAGTGCTGCATCTCCCTATTATTCGACAAACATGCCCCCGCATTATGCCCAACGAGTTCCACCCGGAGCACCGCAACAAATGCGTCCACCTTATGCCGGTTATCCTCCCTACAATATGGGCCCGCAAGGACAATACATTCAACCGGTATGTTGGCTAATTTCAAGCACTGTTCAATCTGACAAGGGATGGCCACAAGGCTGAGGTGGCCAAATGACATGAGTCAGATACCATAAGGCTTCTTTCACCGTCTCGAAATATGTGCTTGTGGTGTATTGGATAGGGATCTCGTTTCCGAAAGAAGCTATCCAGTTTTCGCTCGGGTTCGATTCCTTCCTTTTGTTATTATGATGTTTAATCACACGAATTCGCTCTATTTTAACTTTACAATAAGCATTATTTCATCTTTCATTTCATTCATTCACTTTATAGTTTGCTGCCAAGTGCGTTAATTTTTTTGTTATTTTGTTTGTCATCTATTAAAAGATGTCATATTACTTATTCTAAAGTTAAAATAGAACGAATTCGAGCGATTAAACATCAAAATAAAATGAAAACAAAAAGAAGGGGTCGAAGCCGAGCAAAAACTTGATAGCTCCTTTCAGAAACAAGACTCTTATTCACTACACCACATGGGCACTTTTAGAGACGGTGAAAGATGCTTTATGATATATGGCTCAAGTCATTTGGCCACCTCAGCCTTGTGACCTTCCCTTGTGAGCCTTAACCAGCAGTGGTGCCAACATTGATGAATCTAAGCTTTCATACTTTCAGGGCTACTGGCGAGGTCAACAACCCGGTCCTCAAGCCTACAATGGACCGGCTCCTCAACCTGGTCCTAGTGCTATTCCTCCAGGACAACAGCCTCAACCTGTACCAACGAATGCAGCTGCTAGCCCCGCGCAGAGGTTTTACCCAAGACCCGTCCCATCAACACAAGGAGCACCGTCGCCAAATCAAAACAGAATCCCACCGGTAATGGATGAATTCTAAATTCTAAACACCAAATTTCAGTCCTACCAACCCACAGCACCAGCAAGATCAACGATCCAAGCTCCCTTACCAGTTCCAACTCCAGTTCAGCCACAACAACAGCAGCAACCTCAACAACTTGTTTCCGTATAGATTCTAGAACTTTTCTATACTCTAGATTTCTAGGCACCACAGCAACCCGTTTTCCCGACTGATTCTATTGAAGCGGCTGTGATGAGCACGAGAAAGCGAAAGAGACCGTCGACAAAGGATTTGATTGGAGTAAGCAGTTGAAATTCAGAACTAAACTGTAAAATCTACTTTATATTACGAAAAATTTCTTTCCAGGTCAATCCACGACGAGTTTTGATGGCTTTACGCTCAGGGCTTGAGACGGAAGCGATCTGGGCGCTGAACGCGTTGTCAGTGAGTTTAACGGAAGATGTGAACTCGACAAGGGGCCACGAATGGATTCACCTCATTGGCCCACTCATCGAGCATATGGCCGCCGCGATCAGTGTTTTGTGGCCCGACGTTTTTCCGGTGAGTTCAAAGGGATTGAAACGCTAAATGGACTTTCTTTTTCCAAATTCGTTGCCATTTGACTCGCTTTGATCCCTCAAAATACTATTTTAGCTAACCGAACCTCCAAAATTGGGATGTAAAGATGCAGAAGTGGCAAATGATGAAGAGAAAAGCGATGATATTTACATTGATGGACTCTCGGAACAACTTGGAAAAGAACTTGTTGGGAAACGGCAACAGGAGGACAAGAAACAGCAAAATTTCACATTGGTAAGCGTTTGGAATTCTTAAAATTCTTGAAATTCTTGAAAAATGCATTGTCTAATCAATTCTGATTGCTTATTCAGGTGACGCGAACGGGAAGAGCGGTGAAATTCGAAAAGTCGACCATTCCAGCTGAATTGAAAAGATCGTTGTGTGGGCTTGAGCCGGAGAAATCTGTAGAAGGTTTGAATAACAAAATGTTTCCGATAATCTCTATTTCAGAGTTGACTTACAATCTTCACCTTGATGGGGAAAAAGTCGCCGTTGGAGTGTTGGCAGCTCGGATCACGGCCTCGTTCAAACAGATGATCGAATCGGCTTCTCAAAATGGAAATCCCGTCTTCTCGAGGCCGTCCACATCTTATGATGCAGCGAGACCAGAGAAATGTTGCAAAATCGAGATCGAAGAGGATGAGGAGGTGATTGATCTTACCAATCAATTTCAATCAATCAGAGGGGATTACTGTAGTACTGGAGGGGATTACTGTAGTACTGGAATACTGTACCGGCCGTGGCATATACAGGGTGACACTAAGTTCGAAGCCAGGATTGTGGGACATTTGATACCCTGTCATTGACAACCTAACTTTAAGCTCAAATATCTTGGCGTTGGGCTGTCCAATTTAAATATTATTGGTATCATTCGATGCGCCAAGTCTTTCTCTGTCGATTGGTACAAAAGCTATTTAAATTGAACAGCCCAACACCAAGATATTTGAGCTCAAAGCTCAAAGCAGTACAGGAAGTACTGTAGTGTTAAAGAAAACTCTGAGTACAAGCAATCAAAATTCGATTTAATCCACTACCATTTCAGCAATGCCCGATTTTCTATCGACAACCGACGAAATTCGAGCAACTTGATGGACCGATCGATTTTGAGCAAGAAATGCCAAGACGAACGGCCATCGTCATCCCAGAAGTTCCAATGGGAAGCATAGTGAGTTAAAAGAGCTCAAAGATAACCTAGAAAAAAAATCAATCATCGACTCATTTAATTGATTAATTGATATATTTTCAGGCAGCCCGAGCTCTTTGCGCGTCGAATGCTTTACGATCGCTTTCATTCTGCCCAAATCTCGAACTACAACTCACCAACAATCGCTCACTTTTGGTGCTTGTCGCTCATTTTCTGAGGCTTGAAATTCACGACAAACTCTTCAAGCGAATGCCCCCAATGACGAAATTTGATCCGGTTAGTGTGTTTGCTAAAATTGGGTCTTAACTTTTTTGAAGAATTTGGTCAAATTTTGAATATTATTTGAGCAATATTCAGGAATCACCACTCGCCGAGACTGAGAGTAGCGCCGAACAACAAAGGAAAGCCGTCGCGTTGCTAGATGACGAGGATGAGGTAAAATTTACCTTAAATTCTCTAATAGTTGCATTTCTCAATTCTCTGATAACGAAAATATCTGTCGCTCTTTTTTTGACGTTGGCAATTTAAGGTTTTACGTGTTTTTCTCAGCACAAACCCTTTAGTTTTGACTATTTTGACTAGCATTTGATGCAGAATAAAATTGCGAGTCGAATTTTACCAGAATTGACTCAAAATGTGATATCCACGTAAAGTTATTGGCTAAAAACCTAAACCCTGGCCATTATTGGCGAGACTTAATCTTTTGCTTCATAACTTTGCATGAAAATTACAATTTGAGTTAATTCTGGTATCATTCGACGCGCAATTTTATTCTGCATCGAATGATACTCGAAATAGTCAAAACTAAAGGGTTGATGCTGAGAAAAACACAACCTTAAATTGCCAACTTCAAAAAAGAGCGACAGACGTTTTCGTTACAAGTCTAGCTCATAGTACCGCTATTTCTACTTGTTGATATGCTTTAAAAGAGCCTTTTCATCAAACAACAACTTTTCAGGAGCATTGCATCAAATTGGAGACAGCCGCTCAACTCCGGGAGGACGCTTTGACGATACTTTGTCATATCTCTGGATCGGTTAGTAGAAATTTTCAACTCTTTGCTTCTTTTTAACTCTATCAAATCCTCTTTTATCTATTAAATTCTTTAGTTGATTCTTTTTGATCTCCCGGGCACGATTTCGTACAAGATTTTGGATGGTCTCTTGCATTGGGCCACATCGTCACTTCCTTCAGCCACCGATGTGATCGGTGACTCGGGGATCAGTCCACGGTAAGAGTTTTACCATAAAACCCTCGATACAGGGTCCGAGTGGTCATCGGTTTGAGTCTGGGAAAATTTTCTCGTAGATTTTTCAAGGCTCATCGTGGTGTTAAAAATGGTTTTGCCTCAGGTGTCACACAACAAGATCAAGTTGATTTTTTTGATGATTTTGTGAATGGGTCATGCATCTAGAGCTCAGAGCTCAGAGGAGAGCTCAAAATCTACGTATACACGAGAAACAAATCTAGGTATACACGAGAAACACACTTTTGAATTCCTCGATTTCACCACAAATCTTTCTACTTTTTTGTTTCTATAAATTTGTTCACAATTTCAATTTGCATTGTTGGATTCGCTGTTTCAAAAATCTTGAGAATATGGTTAATTTTTAAACGAGAAAACCCTCTTGTTGCTGCTTATCCAGGACCAACTTTTTGGGAGTCTCTTATTTTAAAGATCCTAATAACAAAACAAATTTATAGAAACTGGATGACTCCCTATCCACAAAAAAATCAGAAAAAAATCAACTTGATCTTTTTGTGAGGCAAAACCTGAGGCAAACCAGAGGCTAAACCTGTGGCAAAACCTGTGGCTAAACCTGAGGCTAAACCTGTGGCAAAACCATTTTTGACACTACGATGAGCCTTGAAAAATCTACGAGAAAATTTTCCCAGGCTCAAACCGATGACCACTTTTTTTTCGGACACCCTTTAGTTCTAAAGTTAACTATTAAAATTGAATAGATTCATAAGCAAAGTTTTTTTACTGTCAAAAAATAGTAGAACATCCTTCAATTAAGAAACTTTTAAAAGTTAGAACTTATCAAAAAGTTTCTTTCAGAAACTACGCACTCGAGATCTTGTGCAAGTTGAGTGTCGTCGAGAGTAACGTCGATTTGATTTGTGCGACAGGGCCATGGCCAAGATTAGAGAAAATGGTGACAGTGCTGGCCAAGTTGATCAACATGAATGAGGAGACGCATGTTCGGTAGAAGATTTTCGGAGAAACATTTCTAAATCCTTTTAGCGAATTCGGCATCGTGATCTTGAATGCGGTGGTGAGTGTGTCACCGGAATTGTGCTGGGTTGCCGCGCATAAATCACCAGCCATCGAACATCTCATTTCATTCATCGAGACGGCCGATTCGAATATGCACCAGGTAAATAGCTGCAAAAGCTTGAACAAAAAGATAGCAAAGAGTCGTGTGCGGTACACGTGACTCTAGTGAGCCTATAGTTATGCAAATAAACAAAGTCCTTTCTCATCCATTTCTCCAAAGCAGCCTCAAGATTGTGCTCTGATCCCAAAGATGATCCTCAAGATCCAAATGCTCTGAAACTTTTACCAATGGAAAGCCAGAAGGCTGAATGTTTTGACGCCTATAGACTTGGCTATTGATCTTTTGGAATGCTCGCGTTAAAACGGACATATCTTTGTGATTGTAGCTCCAAATGCTCTGAAACTTTTACCAATGAAAAGCCAGGAATCCAAGCTTTATTTTGTAACCTAATACGTACTGTTAGACGATCAACGGATCCCAAAAAAACCTTATCGATACTCTATCGAGGGACCCTGAAGATTGCGCCGCTATTTAAAAACGAAAATTGCGCCGAATGAAATTGCCATTTACCAGAGCTTTCGTTTTGCGGGAGTCTGGTATCAAAATGTAGCCCTTCAATTGGGCTACACGATGGTATAAAAAACTTTTAGAAAAACTGAGGTTTAGTACAAGTAAAATGGCCACAAAGTGGGGGCACCATTCGGCGCAATTTTCGTTTTTACACAGCGCGGCCAAACTTCATAGTTCGATCGATACGATTAAATCGTTTATCGATAATGACTTGATAAGACCATATCAATTTCATATCGATTAGGTTTTTAGAGCTGCGTTTTGCGTGCTTTTCTAAGTATTAAGTACCAAAATTAAACACTTAAACTTTTGGCTTCCCAATGGTAAAAGTTTCAGAGCATTTGAATAGCTTTATGCAAAGTTATAAGCTTTTTTTTTGCGCGATCACTCCAAAAATAAACAGACAAACACTACTCTTTTATGTATAGTAGATGAAATTCTATTTACTGTAATGCTAATTTTGTCTTAGGCTCAGAAAAGGCACATAGTTCTAATCGTACTTTAATGAGCCAAGAATATATGCAAATTTGTGCTGTAATGAGCCTACCATAGTCACGAATTGATGGCAATGCTGAGAAGATTCAACTTTAGTCTATAGACTGAGTGGCTTACTGAAATGCCAGAAATGATTTTTGATGTACAGGTTCTGAACAATATATCTAGGTAATGCAACAACATGGAATGAACGCACTGCGCAGCGATCCCGAATTGATGGGAACATCGGTGGGAATGCTGAGAAGATCGGCGTCTCTGTTGCGGCAACTCTCGCGAGCCAACGAATCGCATCGACTCTTTGCAAGGCATCAGAATCGACTACTGCAATTCACCATGTCTCAATTAGTAAGCGATCTTCAAAAGATCTTCGTTTTCACAATGTTGATAGTTGATAAAAAATCAATTTTCAATTCAAAAATCAAGTTTCAATTCCAAAAATCAATTCCAATCTTTCAGATGGATTCCCGTGTCGCTGGAATGGTTGCCGATACGTTGTACGCTGTGCAAACGGCTCTTTCGAACGACGAAGAACTATCAAAAAAGGTTTATAGTAGTTGATAGGAATCTGTAGCAATCTGTAGCAATTAGGCGAATTACTCTTTTTTTTTTACCATTTCTTCATTTAGTTCGAAAATCACGGTCTCAACCCGAAGAAGCAAAGAGATGTCGAGATGAAACGAGAGGAACCCGATTCGGATTCGGAGAGTGACGGAGGATTTGAAGAAACGATGGACGCCAGCACCACGACACAAGAGATCAACGGTCGATGCACGGAAAAGTCCATAACTCCGACACAGGTATGCTTTCATAAATTTTCCAAACTCCAAAACAGCTACAACGTTTCGCTTGTAGCTGGCCATTGTCATTGTCTTTGGCCATTGCCATTGACTTTTAAAATTCAATTTCATCGTTTAGCTCGAAGACAACACATCCGATTCGACGTCGACCCTTCCTCAGCAAAATGGGAACCGAAATTTGAATGGTCAAGCGGGGAGTGGAAGTGAAAGTGGAGGAAGCCCAAGACAAGGCAATATTGCAGAGGTAGTGCTAATAAAATGAAAACAATGATAACAATGAAAACCATTTCTTCATAGCCTTGAGTCTGCTGGCTGAAATTTTAATCATTTCCATAACTGCTTGAAAGTTTGAGCCATGGAAGTGGCTGTCGTAAATGTAGAAGGTCTTGAAGAAGTGAAGAAAGTGGCAAAAATGAATTGTTGCTCAGTTTCCATGAGCCAAGTTGAAGTGGCGGCTAATGTGCTTATTAAGCATTCTATTGAAAACTTTGTTTCAGGTAAAAGGACAGGCCACCAAAACGACACAACAACAACAACAACAACAATCGACACGAGCCGTCCCAAATGGGATTCATCCGCGAGAAAACGGTGGAATGACGGCCGTGGCTTGAGCTTGAGATCGATTCCATCTATAGATGAATGAATCTAGAGATTCGCCGACGACTTTCGCCGATCTCGGATATCTCTCCTTTACTCACATTTGATCTCGTTTACTTCCCACCCGGATATTAGACTTCTCTCGTTGATCTGTCCTTAGCTCGTCGATAGTCAATAGTCAAAATCATTTCATTTCACTCATAGATCAAGCAAAAACAAAACAAAACAAAACAAAACATTTCCATCGAATGGGATGCCACTGGTCATCTCATTTGCGTGTGCACATGTAGTTTTTTCACATTTTCTCTACAACTTTTCCTCTACGACTTTTGTAAAATCAAAAAAACTCACCATTTTACCTCTATCACTCAATTTTGTAGCTCTTTTTAGCTCTATGTGAATCTTAATTAGTGTTCTTTTCACACCATTTACCCTCACCCCATTTTTGTGGATATCCGAAATTTGCGCCCATCACATTACGGGAGGGAGGGGTGTCTTTGAAAATTTGACTTCAAAAACTTCAAAATGCAAAAATTTCGACACCCCGCCCAATTAATCTCTCCGGTTTTCGCCCCATTTCACACCGCTTTTTCCGCTCTCAATGTGTTTTTCCTCAACTTTTTCTCTCTCTCTCTCTCTTCTATGCGTGATTGAGGTATGTACCGTGTATGAGTTTACCTATTGGCCCTCGTTCCCCAAAAAACAAAAATGTCTCCCCAAGTGTATTTTTTTTCGAAGATTTCACTTCATTTCCTCTTTCCTTCCCACACTCAAAAAACACTCATTTTCAATGCTCACATTTTAATCACACGCTGGGCTTTGCGTCTCGCTCTGTATGACTACGATCTATTTTTCTCCTTGTGTGTTTCTTTTCGTCGTATGTGAAAAGGTTTTATAAATTATTTGTTAATTCGTTGATAAATTATTCAGCACATTTTTGATATCGAAAAATGACAGCAAAAAAAGTCCACGTGCTGTGCAAATTTCAAAAATGATCTAAATTTATCAAACTGCTCGTAAATAACGAAACTGGAACAAAAAAAAACCCTCCCGCGCCTGTAAATCCGTCTTTTAGATAATAAAGCTTTATTGCACTGATATTACAATAGTAGATGGACTTTTTGAAAATAAATATTATCACAGGCTTCAAGAAAAATTAGTCCTTAGGATCCGTATCGCAAATGGGGTCGCTTTCAAAAGGTATAGAAAGTCAAAGAATAGAATAGCACAACTTTGAAAGCGAGAGCCCAATATAACCTAAGGAAAACCATAGCAAAAAATGATTTAGATTTGTACAAACAAACAAATAAGAAAAGAATTGATATGATATGATAAAAAAAGCAAAAAGAAAGAAACAGAAATGTTGAACGAGTGAAGAAACACAACTGAAATAAATAGAAAAAAAGAAAAGATTAAGGCAATAAAGAAAAACACCGAAGAGCACCCTAGGTCATGAATTGTCCCTTATTGGATTTGTTTATCGATATTCTTTACAAAAACGATTCGAGTCCTTTATACCGATAAACAAAATCTTATTAAAGAATGCACTACAATAGCCCTAGAATATACATATGCTTAAGAGAAGCGAAAAAATAGACCCGATAGATATCCGTTTTGGTTGCGAAGGGAAGTGAATCGTGTCGTTTGATCACAAATCGGTGTGTCCAGTTGTTGTTTGGGGAAGCATCGCTTTCCGGAACTCCCCAACCTCGAAAATTGACGACGAATACCGACCGAGCGATTGGAAGAGTGAAACGACCTCGTTTCTAAATGGAAAACTTAAGGCAAGTTAGAAAAACCCTACAATTATTTTTAAAAAAGTAGATTATTCTTTTGCACATTTGATATTCGCTACAAAACAGTACCTTGTCAATTGGAAAGGCGGTTCCCGGCCGGGCTCAACTGATCGGAAATGTGAATACGGTAGATCAGAGAAAAGAATCTTCAAAGCGGTGCCCATTCCATGTGTTTGAAGCTAAATGATTGCGTTCATTCAGGGGTGGTACTATTTGGCTTTTATAAGCTTGTAAATTGAAATTTTAAAATTTTCAAGCCTTGTAAATCAATTTACAAGCTTGTAACTGTCCAAATAGTACTACCGCAGTAAAAATAATAAAGTTGCTTTACCTTCCCCCATAGACGACACTTATCGCAACCAACACAATCCATAATGCGAGAAATGTTGAGGAAATGTGACCGGAATTCCTCACGCAACTCACGAGCTTGCGCCTCAACACCCTAAAGAGAAAATCTTGGGTTGATGGGTTGATAATCATTAGGTAATTAGGTGTGCGTTCATAAAAAGCTTAACTTGAAAAAACTTGTCACTTTTGTCTTTGAAGCTAACAATTTCGTTGTAAGGCTTATTTAACTTTAACTTGAAGCTTTAAAAGATCGTACCTGGAACATATATTGCTCATCAAAATGATTTGGATGTTCTCGAATCGTCTCCAAAAGGTCCTCAATGGCTGCACGTGTTTCCGAATCGTCCTAAAGATAAGTCACTTTTAAAACAAGATCAACATTTGGTTGCCTTTTCATTTCCCGTGTAAAAGAGCTCATTTTGCAAGTAGGGAGCCGCTTTGATGATAGCACGAAGTTCCAATAAAAAGGTGAAATAGACGTTCCTCAATCTGAAATCAAAAAATTAAATGAACGTCAAACTTTGTTTAAGCCATCGTAGTCGAAGCAAAAATAGTACACAGTACCGTTGTGGTCCTTCCCAACTCCATTTCGTCCCGAAGCGTCCAGCAAACATCTCCACATTTCTGTACCATGTTCCAGTGCCAAATCCAGCAGGTGCTAAACAAATTTAGTACTTTTGTGTTAAAATTCCAGTTTTATTCTTTGCTAGTACTAATTTATTGCATGATACGCAAAATTACTCACCAGGTTTATAATTGTGAGCGCTGATCGAGATCGTGATCGCCGAATGAAGACCAGAAATGAGACGATAAAACACTCGTTTCTCCAAGCACAAGCCTAAATATTATCTTTCCAATGGTTAATACCAGTTTTAATACGAATTGGATAGATAGGTGGACATAGTATAGCTTTGCACCAAGACTGTCAGGCATAGCTATTTGAATTCGGAGTCAGGGTTTCAGTCTTGACTCTTGTCAGTAAAATCTAACAGTCTTGTGATAGTAAAGGTAAGAAATTTGGAAAATCGGCAAAAATCGAAGCACAAAATTTAACGACACGCAGCTGCAACAATAAACGTGCTTAAAGAGAAAACTTTTCACGAACAACATTGAAAAGGCATTTTCAAAGAAAACACTGAACCCACCACCCTATATCGATGATAACGTACCTTCTAGATTAGTTTTTATTATTATTTGCACATTAAAATTTCTGTATTGAAGTCAATATCTAAACTTACCTAGATTGTTTGGATTGATGAGAAAATTCTTGTCGAACTTCGGATCCGGTCTAAAAGGGAATATGTTTAGTGGTAAATAAAAAAAATCTCTCACTTGAAGCAATTTTCTTGATAAATACTCTTCCAGACTCGCAAAGCACTGTCTCCCTTGTATCCTGTGTATCGTTCGGGGTTTTTCAGAAGATCCACATAGTGCATCTCCAATGATTCTTCATCTAACGTAAGAAAATAAGTCTTAAAGAAAACATCAAAGGACTAAAATTAAACTTTATTTAGTTTCAATATCTTACCATCTACTTCGCAGAATTTGTCGTGATCTGCTCTATCGTGTTCATCCCATTCGGCGTGTCGTTGTTTCTCACCCTCACTCAACGATCGATCCACTGGATCAAAAGTGTTCGCCGTGTCACCTGCACATTTCTCATTGCCATTGGAAGCTTTCTAAAAAGCAAGCTTACAAATGTTGCTGAAAACGGAAAAATTCCGCACTACTATATACCATCAATACTCAATAAGACGAACGTTTTACGTACAGACATGAAACAAAGGGATAAAATGCCAATGAAAGTCTACCCTACCTTTAGCTTTTGTGGGGCTAATAAATAAATTAGAAACAAGCAATTAAAATGAACCAAAAAACGAGACCTTAGGAAAGACGTGAGTGCGAGCGGGGACGGTTTTGTTTTGGCCGCTTCGCGAAGCGTTTACCGATGATCGCATTCCAACCATGCGTACCTGCACATTAAGCATGAATCTAGCAAAATTAACAAAGTTTTTGTGTTAATACAAGAGACATTGATGTGAAAATTGTTAGCAAGGAGGCCAAAAGCAATTGGTATGAAAATTGTGAGAAAAATTGACAAAAATTTTGTTATTATTGTGGACAGATTCATACAACTTGAGTGTGTTATTTGCGGTGCAGTAAAAGAAAACAATGAATGGCATGCAAGATTTGAACAAGTTATGATTTCTGAAATACATCACGTAAAAGCTTTACGTGATGTATTTCAGAAATTTTTAAAGTGAATTGCATTTTTTTATTCAAAAACTATTCTTATGTTTTTGCGAGTTAACAAAAGAAAAGAACTTTTCGGTGCATGCAACTCTTTTTGCCCACATGCAAACATTGTATAGTTTGGCAACATTATTACACAAGTAACCAACCGTTGTAACAACAGCCGGTCGCTTCAAACCAGCAGGCACTTCATCATCGCATGTCATTATCCCGCATTCCTTTGAGCCACATTGGCGATCATCCGGCCAAAATGGACATTGTTTATCCATGTTTACCTAAACAAATATCATTAAAAGTTAGCAACAACGATGGTACTTTGTAATATCGGAAAAATGGTCGTTGTAAGAGTCGAGTGAGCTTCTTGTGGAGGACTTCATTGTTGAACACATCAATCGAGTCTGAAGAGCAGTCACAAGGTTCCACCGCTTCATTCTAAATCAGTTACATGTGAAACAATTCAGTAGATTCAGTAGATTTCTTTTTATTAGTAGATTCAGTAGGTTTTAAAATGCTGAATCGCTGTTGAATTCTTTAGCCAAGTATTTTTTCAAATTGCTTATTCAAATTTTAAAAACGATTTAATCGTGTCTATTTTTAATCGATTTAATCGAGATAAGATATTATTAAATTAAGCAGCAATAAGTTATAGTAACAAGGATAATAAACTGACCTCTTTGCAAAAACACTGTCGTTTCTCATCGAATTGTGCGTTGACGAGTGAAGAGATCAGAACGACGGCAAGCCCCGTCAAAATCGCTTTCCGCAACATCGGGCATACGGTGGGCTTTCGCTATCTGAAAAAAAAAGATAAAATTGACTAAATTATAATTTAGAAAACAAGCAAAACAAGAAATAGCTATTAAATAAAAAAAATGCCAAGTTTTCGAGGGGAAGTGGGTTCAAGACTTAAATAAAGCCCCCAAAAAAAGCGACAAATCTCTGGAAAGGCTGAAATAAGCCGACGCTGCCTAGAAAATCTTTCCAAAAACCGCCAAAAAACCAAGAATTATCAGCGTTTTTAGACGGGGACTTAACCGGTGCTGTTGATTCAGCCAATGCCTCAAAAAGCAGCCTCGATACAATGAAAGGGGATAGGATGATCGATAAAATAAACAAAAAGACAAAGCTGACGTATAATAGATGCGAAAATAGAGTTTCGGTGGGCGGAGAATCATAATGAAGACGAAAGCGCTTTTGAAATGCTGAATAGCTGTTGAATTGCTTTTTACAACAAAAGTATCAAAAAATCTTTTCAAATTGAATTTTGTCTTACACACAGTGCTAGTTAGAAGAAAGGTAAAATTTGGAGAAATTATATTGATCTAAAGAAAATGGAGAAATTATAATTGAAATTGAAATTGAAATAGAAATGGAGAAACCATATTGATCTAAAGCTTGACTAAAAACCAAAATTGTGTAATAATTCTAGGTGATATAAGTTTTCAAGTTCAAGAAATCAACTGCTTTCACGGGGTAGGCTAATTTCCGCCATTTTATTTGCGCAACGGGGTCATTTGCCCAACTGGGCCATTTGGTCAACTGAGTCATTTGCGCAACTCGCCATAACTTCCTGTTAAGTGGGCCAATCTTTATGATTTTGGTTTCATTTTGTTGCACTTATTGAGATCTACAAAATGAAATCAAAATCATAAAGATTGGCCCACTTAACAGGAAGTTATGGCGAGTTGCGCAAACGACCCAGTTGGGCAAAAAATTTCGCGCAAAGTAGCCTATCCCGCTTTCACTTGCAGATTTCACCAGCCAAAATTCTGACCGATAAAATCACCAATTCTCATGGAATCTGTCAAAATATTGGCTTGACATTCCACCGCCAAATGGCACAAGTCAAATTATTGACGTGTGACGGTGATGGGGTTCGGGAGAAAAGCAAAAAGAAGCAAAAAAAGGAAAAGAAAGTGGTCCCAGCCGCCTTCTTTTTCTCTTCACAGTCTTGGCGCTTTCACAAACAAAAACTAGCAGGACCGGTATCTCGGAGAATACTCCAAGTGGGAGGGCGACCAAGCGCAAAGCGTACACAACTATCACCTCACTAAAGACACTCAAAATTCAGCTGAACAACAAATTTATTGGGAATTAAAACTTTCTCGTTAAAGTTTAAGCAGTAATTTTCCTTATCCAATAAACTAAGAGTAACAGATCGAGAGTGGTTTGCGAAAAATCTGCCTGAAACCTTTTAAACCATACGTGTCCTAATTAAAAATTCAATAGTTATTTCAAGGTATTCAAGAAAAATGAAAGTTTCAAAGTCTCATCGAAAAGAATCAATGCTTCCGTCATCAATAGCCAGAGGAAATGGAAAGAATGAGGAGGCGGTTGTCGGAGAAACCTCACAAACAAACGTATCTAAATTGGAAAAAACCCAATTCTACTTCCAGGTAACTTTATCCCGGAAGCCCTTCAACTTAACCGACGTTTCCAACCCACTCCATAAGCGTCCTTTCGCAGTCAGTATTGTCGTTGCGGGACCCATTTGCCGAAAGAGTGGCAAGGCAGCACAAAAATTTCCCAAAATCAGCTGTCTCGGGAGAATCTGAACTGCACATAAAAAACAACCCTGATCCCTAAAATTTTATAACCCGCAATTCCGATTACATCAATCGACTAATAGAACATCGGCATTTTCTCAAAGACCACCAAAAACACTTCAATTAGCGCAAGGGGCTTTGCCCTTTCTTTTGTCACAGCCCATATGGCTTAATGAATACGGCCGATTTTGCTTCCTGCATTTCAACGATGCAAGACCAGTTTAAATAACTTTAGCTTTAATCCTTTTTGTTTATAGTTAGGTATCCTCAATCCAAGTTTATTCCTTCAGAATTGCTGCGTTACAAATAAATCATAAAGAGACAAACTAGGTGCTTCAAGCACGTCAAAAGAATAAAACAAAATTTCCACCATATATGGAGGAAAAACGGCATTTCACAAAATAATCAAATTGAAAAAGGTGAGGAAAGAGAAAAATTCTCACGACAGCATAAACAATAACCGAAAGATTGCAATCACTGGAAGCCAATTTTGGACTCTCTTGGAGAGTTAATATACCACAACAAACAAAATTGAGAGATACACAATACCCAAAATAAACTACAGATTGAAGCTTTGATTGAATGGATACGCTGGTGAAAAGAGTCCCGATTCAGACGAGCTCGAAAAAGTGGCAGAGAATTGGGCCGACGTGCGACGGCTGCTCTTTTCGACTTCTGTCATCCCCTCCTAAATATTAATGTTTTAATTAACCTTGAAACAGCATTAGTACAAATTTTTTAAAATGAAGCCATTAATCGCTTTAAATTACTAGCTAAACGTACCTCAGCTTGGAAGCTTTTCAGATATTGCGTGGCCATGTAAGATTGCCATGCAGCCATCTCTTTTTCCAAACCTTGAGCAATAACCTAAATCAATAATGTAGTTAGCCAATTAAGCAAAACCAACCCCGGCTTGGTGAATCGATCTGCATTTGATAGGCATGAAGATGACAGTGTCTTCTGCGTACTCGGCTTTGAATGAAGCTGGAGGGATGCCTTTTTCTAGACAAATAGTTTATCGTCGTTCATAAAGATTCCATCTTTAGAAACAAAAATGAATACCTTGATGTGGTTCCGAGACAAGATTCTCACGCAGAGGCAGCAAAGTTTTGCATTGGGATTCCCTTGGCTTTTGAATGGGCTGGATTGGTTTTCGGTAATGTGTGGCCATTTGTTGAGCTGCAAAGTATTGCTCGTTTTCACACGAAGTTCGCAGATCCTTCTCTCCGTGAGCATACCAACAATCCTCTCCAAATCTAGAACAACAAACATTTAAAATAAGAAATTTTTAAAGCGTACTTGCAGTCGGCTCCAGTAACATAATAGTCGCATAGCGTTGTCTTGAAGAGAGCCGGGTTTTTGCAAATTTGTGGAGCTCGTGCATAGTTCCTTCGGTGGTAATTTTGCCGATAACTAAAAATGAAAAGTTAAAAGACTAGAAACTCTCGATCCCCTCAAACTTTTCGAAGCGCTTAGTTGTCTAGAATTTAAAAAGAGGTTTATTGTTCTGATACATTAACTAGGGGTGTAGTTTTTAACACCGAACATACAAGCATAAGTAGCAGCAAGAATAGCATGGTCCTAGTTAAACCTATTGTCATTGTTGTTATACATCACTATCAGCTCCACGCAAGAACAAGCTACTGGTTGTGATTTCTCTTTAGTCATCTTTGCAAGTCACCAAAGTTTGTGCTTACAGTTTACACAGATCACTACTTCAAAAAGTCCAAACTAACCGAGAAGGAGCTGAAGAATTCATGTAACCGGCTTGACGATCCCCAAACGTGAAAGTGCTGTTCATGATTGCACTGACGTTCGTCCGAGAGCTCGTTCACAAAGCCTGAAATTAAAAAGAAACATAAAAAGCTGTAACATTGGTGGTTGGGGGGAGCTACCTATATTTTTGCCTTTTTCAATTTTTCTAGCGTAATCGATAGCGCTAATCAGGATCAGAGTGTTTTTAAGGTAGGTTGTCCACAGTTTTTAGAGTTTTTAGCCATAACTAGTGTATCTTTAGTGTACTTCACTATGATCTCAGCACAGAGAGAGGAACTCAAAATGAGACCGTAAAGGAATTAACCTCCAAACCAAAATTATTTCTCAAAGCTTTTAGAGCCACTGAACTTGAATCAACAAGATAGAACTAAAACGGTTGAATTTAAAATTTCGGTTTCTATGGCCTAATTTTGAGTCCTTTTAGCAAGATAACCCTCCAAATATGTACAGTACAGACGTGCTACTTTAGAACAAAAGAAAATTCATAAAAAGCCTTTACATAAAAAAACTATTTCTGACCAGTGCTATCAATTACCCCAGAAGAATTGAAAAGGTCAAAAATATAGATGGTTCCCCCCAACCACCAATGTACCAAAAGCTGCAAAGAAACAAAAAAATTGTAATTGTTCAATAGAAATAGAATAGAATAGAAATAGAAAACTTCAATAAAAAACGCACAAACGGTTTAACTGTTATGTTTAACAGGCTTAAAGTTAAAGCTAACTAATCAATTTAAAAGATAGCTAAAAAGTAAAATAGCTTCTCCAAGGATTGGAGACAAGTCACGGATAAGACGAGTAAACTTTCTAAAAGCCACACCCCATTGGAAAAATTGCAAAAGTGATTATCTCACTGGAAAATTAATTTATATAGCCAATATTTCACGAAGATCTTCAGCTAATTGATTGTGTAACTTGCAATAAGTGTCTAGCTACGGTAATAAAAGCGACACACAAATAGAATCGATTTCGATCTAGAATTTTTGGGACTATCGTGTTACCGTATTTCTTCGAATAGAAGACCGGGTAAAGAGTATCATCGCGTACTCCTGCGTAGCAGCCCTTTTTAAAATTTCTTTTCTGCATAAAAGCTTTCAATCAAGTGCTATAGAGCTGGAAAATGACTCAAAAATCTGTTACCACATGTGGTATTTTTGAGTCATTTTCCAGCTCTATAGCACTTGATTGAAAGCTTTTATGCAGAAAAGGAATTTTAAAAAGGGCTGCTACGCAGGAGTACGTACGCGATGATACTCTTTACCCGGTCTTCTATTCGAAGAAATACGGTAAGATGATTTGGGTGGCCATGAAGAAGAAATTTGTCGCACCATGAAGCGGCCAAGTAGCTCGAATTCTCGAAGTACCGAGTTTTTGATTTTTTTTTTTCATTTTTGTATCACCCAGTTCTATCGAGGTTCATGAAATGTAAAGAAAACAATTGCCAGGCCGATCTTCTTTGAGTGTCTTTCTTTCCCTTTACAAATCGGTCAGGTCACCGATATTTGTTCTCACTTATAGACTCGTCTCTTTTCTTTTTCTTCCAAATATCGGCTCTCATTTGCATCTCTCTTTTTTTTTTGCCCTTTTTTGGAGAGTCATTTCTGTCACTATCCACCCATCCCCTTCTCGACTTTATGACTCAACAACAAATATTGAGATTGGGTCAAATAAACTTTGAGCTTTGCGGATGGGCAGACTGGAAAGAGCTATGCAATGATTAGGCTCTTTTTAAGATGGGCTAGATGTAATATTGATGAAAAAATGATTGCTGAACTAGGTATGTCATAAATTTACTGTATCAGTGACTTTCAAAAGAAGAATTTTTGGCCAGACTTTGTCAAATTTTGCTCCCTTACTTTACTATTATGGTTAGGCTAGCCAGACCAGACCAGGGTCAGATCCAGCTTAAATTTTAGATCAGACCCTGTCGGACTAACAAGGGAAGTGAACGAGCTTAAGGCGAGCTTTTGAATCGAGGCACAGAACATTCGATGCAGAATTTCACGCTGATTCCGAATCTACTATCTGTTTTTGTAAAATGGCTCTCCATCAAAAGTTACAAACATTTGAAATTTGTAGCCAAAAAATGAAATTTTTCTGGCTGAAATGGGATTCATAAGGCTTTTTCAGTGCCAGCCGAATGTGGACTGGCGGCGCAGTGGGTAGACGGATCCTATACGAAACGATTTCTTCATTTTCTTGCTTGGGGTCAATTCCATCCTTTGTTTTTCTTTTTAGATTCGGAATCGGCGCGAAATTCTGCATCGAATGGTCTGGGTCTCGATCCAAAAGCTCACCTTAAGTTCGTTCACTTCCTTTATAAGCCTGTAAGCCTGTATGCTTGTAAGTCAACTGATCCTCGGACTCGTTTAGCACATCTTTACAGTAAGGTATGCTAATTCTAGCTTTGCTGGTCATTGGATAAACTAGATCTGGCACAGCATTAGTACTAGATTTAGTACTAGATTTAGTACTAGACTTAGTACAGTACTAGTTCTTCAGTACTGTACTAGGTCTAGTACTAAAAAGCTGTGCCAGATCTGACTCAGACTCTGAGACTGGAACAAGTCTAGTACTAGACTTAGAAGTAGAGCTAGACTTGTTAGTACTGAAACAAGTAGAGCTAGACTTGTTAGGATTGAAACAAGTAGAGCCCAGATATTCTCAAACCGTAGACGTATCGAACTATTACCGTAGACGTATCGAACTAGGCACTGTAATAGGTTTAAAAATTGAGCTACACCAAGTTGCTAGAAGATGGAATAAATCAAAATGAAAAATCTTAAACCCAGCACTGTAACAAGTATGTACCAGCACCATCGGCACCAACGTTTCCCTAGTTTCTAGACATTTTTCACTCTCACCAATTACACAATGATTGATCAATGTATTTGGGGAGTGAAGGCAAAAAGGGATGGAGGGGATGACCCGAAGTGGCCTCGGTTGACCCTGTTGCGCTCTCTCACACAAAAGAGGGGGTGGGACAATCACCCCTTCATAACAGCCATCCCCCATCCACCAGCTGTACCCATTCGAGAGAAAAAAAGGGGCACAGTCATCGTTCTGGTAACTCTCGCAATGCACATCTGAAGCTTCATCTTTTATTCCAATGTCAACTAAGCAACCAAATGTCGACATTGCAAAACCGATGCCGATTTTCGGGTGAGTTTATCTAAAGATAAATTTTGTTCAAGCTGTTCAAGCTGGTTCTTTGGCGTGTGCTTTAGGTCGCAAAGATTACTGGTGCAATTAAGCTTGAGCATTTTGAACTTAAGCAGCTTGAGCTTAAGCAGCTTGAGCTTAAGCATCTTGAGCTGAAGCATCTTGAACTTAAGCAGCTTGAACTTAAGCAGCTTGAGCTTAAGCATCTTGAGCTTAAGCATTTTGAGCTTGAGCAGCTTGAGCTTAAGCAGCTTGAGCTTGATCATTTTGAGCTTAAGCAGCTTGAGCTGAAGCATTCTTGAGCTGAAGCATCTTGAGCTTGAGCAGCTTGAGCTTAAGCAGCTTGGGCTTAAGCAGCTTGAGCTTAAGCAGCTTGAGCTTAAGCAGCTTGAGCTTAAGCAGCTTGAGCTTAAGCATTTTGAGCTTGATCATTTTGAACTTAAGCATTTTGAGCTTGAGCTTGGGGCCTAATATAGAGCTCAGAATACATTTTAAACCCTGAATCCAATCTCAAAGCAATCTTGATCAGGATCTTAATTTGTATTCGACTTAAAAACGGATACTGGCACCAGGCAACGACCCAAAATGCACAAGTGGGCCAGAGCGTTAATGACATAAAGCACAGGTGTTAATGACATAAAGCACAAGTGTTAATGACATAAAGCACACGCCAAAGAACCATGTGCCACACTAAAAAGCTGCCACAGTCTAATAAGACAAGAAATACCGTACCCTAAACAATGTCGCGCTGACACGCGTATAAAAGGACACCTTCTTTCCCATTTAGTCAGATTTTTCTTTCATTGCTGGTGAAATTTGGGTTGGTGTTGGTTTCTTTTGTTCGCTTTCTTTTTTCCAAGATACTTCCACAATTTTCATCCAAGTTATTTCTTTTTATCTCTGGAACAACACTTGTTTCATTGAAAAATGGAACAAGTGTTGCTTCATTGAAACATTATTACACGCTTTACCCCATATCTACTATATCTAAAAAGCAGAAGAGACGTTTGTCTTGTCGTTTGTTTGTCTGTTCGTCTGTGCGCAGCCATTGGCGCGGGCGGGGTTCCAATACGGTTCCTATTTTGATCTAATACGGTTCCAATACGGTTCCAATACGGGGCGCGGCTTAGATTGTGTGGAAAACGTGGACGTTAGTGAGCGTTTTCCGCTGATGTATTGAATAAACTTGATTTTGTTATTCATTCAAGCGAAAGCACAGCTCTAGCAACGTCTAGTTCGTCTAGAGCTACGTCTAGTTCACTTCGTAGCTAATAATTCGTAAGACATAGTTTAGTTTTGATAAACCAGTGCTACTTACAGCTAGAACAAACAGAGCAACTAAGCACACAAAGCGCAACTAAAGTAAAATCAGAGTCAAGAAGTCAAGTCAGTACTAGAATCAAATCTAAAGCATGAATATATTAGGTTGTCGGATTATGAATTGCCGTTTTTATCAAAAAGTAATTTTATTATAAAATCAATACAAAAATAATTTAATCTAAAAGGTATTCTCCATCGGTATCTATGACATATCGCTAACGTCCACGCAAAGAATGAATGCCCTTGTTGAAGAACTCGACCGGCTGTGACTCAAAGAAATTGGCCACCCAAATTTGGACTTCATCGCGGTTTTTGAATTTTTTTTCGACCAAGGAATGCTGCATCGACCGGAACAAAGGGTAATCAGATGGCGCAAGGTCTGGGCTATATGGCGGGTGAGGCAGAAGTTCCCAGCCCAATTCTTCAATTTTTTTGAGAGTTACTTTTGCGGTGTGTGGATGCGCGTTGTCATGGAGCAATTTTGTTGACGCTGTTTCCACTCCCTGTCGACGAAGCGATTGATCGACGCGGCTTAATTGTTCTT